TTCGGCCACAGTCATGCCCATCCACCGCTTTGTTGATGCCCCAGACATCCAGGTGCCGGCCATGTGCATGGAAATAAGGGATCCATTCTGCTCTGTGTTTTCCTTCTCCTTTCTCCTGTCACGTGCGTGAGGAACAGCCAGCACATCTGCAAGTCTGGCATCTCCTGAGTCGAATCAGGATCTTGAATTCAGTCCCGGTAAAGTCGAGGAAAAGAAAAGGGAGGGAAGAAAAAAAGAGAGAAAAAGGAGATAGAAGAGGCAGGCGGGGTGGGGGGTGGACATCAAATGTTCACTGGAACCTTTCTGCTCTTTAGATTAGTATAATTCAGTCATTTGAGTCCACGTCAAACAGTCTCTCTCTCTCTCCCTCTCTCTCTCTCTCTCTCAGGGTCTTGGCTCCTAAGTGTGCAGCCTGTAAACAGCCCATCCTTCCCTCCGAGGTAAGACCACATTAGCCTGAGTCACAAAGCAAGCAGTCAATATTTTTCTCCAGTCTGGTATTACATTATTGTTTATTCAATTCTGGAATATTCTTTTTCTAAAATGTCCCATTTTATGCCCCATCCTGAACAGAAGAAACACACACATTGTAGTTAATGCTCCTTTAATCTGGCAGCTGTGAGTACTGTGTCATGTTACAACTCCGGGTTGCAGATCGAAGCGTCACCAGTTTCACAACCTTCATGTCATTTTACTCTAAACTCTAAACAAACCATAGAACTTGGCTCCTTCTTCTAACACAGGCTCGCCATTGTTCCAGACCAAACATGTTGTGCCGTTTCTGATAAGACGTTTCTGGCAGCACGTGTTAATATTTACGGTTTCGGAGCTGTGTTGTTCTTACAACAATTTGATTTTGTAACACAGGATATGTCATACATCATTACATCATTCTGTTACTGAGAACACAGCAGCAGAATGAAACCTGACGACGAACAAAGCAGGAGTAAGAAAATCGTACACGTCTGGAATTAATTAATGCAATGTAATACATGTTGTCCAGCACGTCTGGAATTAATTAATGCAATGTAGCACGGTAAAAAAAAAAGTTTGGTTTTCAACAAAACTCATAACAATCCTAACAAACCCAAGTTTCATTCCGTTCCATCAAAATGCCGTGTTGACATAAATATAGGAGTTATATTAAACCCTTAGTCAAAGTTGTGTTAGGAAAGGCGTCCTCGTGCAGCACATGTCAAAAACACACATCGTTGTAGTGACTCGTACAAGTGATGTTCTACATATTAGGAGAACTATCACTGTAACATCATGAACAGACAGTCCTCACGCTGTAAACTCAGTGTGTGAAGAGCAGTCGCTGGAACATGTAATCATCATTTATAACTGGTAATTACAGTTAAAATAGCACTACACCTCCCACAAAGGAAACACTGATTGGTTCAAACTGAAAACCAAGCTCTTAAATGTCACTTTTCTCATCTGTAATATCTTTATTAATATGAAATACTGTATTTTTCAGACTGAAAGAAGCATTAAGTCTAGATTTAGAAAAAGAAAATATATTGTCTTATTACATGAGAGATGTTATATATTATTTAATAAATGTCTGTATGTGGCCTTGACAACATGTTTATCTTTTATATACAAGCTGAGATTCTTTTTAAATAATCAAGTAAAGCTCAGGTATTCTTTTAGCTTTAAAGCTTTTAAAACCACAGAGGCACTCACAAATTACAATAGTCAATAAAGATAATCGTTGGAGCTAAAAACTGTTACCAATGGTAACTGAAGTGCATTTTATACCATTTGACCTGGTTGTGTGGACCTGCCCAGGGCACCTTTGATCTAGTATGGGTATGAATACAATAGAGTTGAACCAGTAAGGTTTAGACTTGGAGATAAAGATGAGTCTGTATGTGACTGTGGTCCAAACAAAGCTGTGCAGTGTTTAATGTCCAAGTCTTTAACGGATGTTATTTGCAGCGTGTTCTGAGTTAAGTTGATGTTCACCTTAACTGTGTTGGGACGGATTATCAACTCACTGGGATCCAGGAAATTAAACTTATCTGCCAGTGTGTACTTGGCGTGGACACAGCCGGCAGGTGTTTGAGCGCAGCCACATTTCCCTGTAGATTCCAGGTCACTGCCGTGTCAGGCCTAATGTGTTTGCATTGTGATCTGAAGTGATTCAAAGGGGGGGAAAATGGCTGCACAGGAGGAAGTATGAAATACATCCAACCCCCCCGTACCCATACCTCCCCTCCCGTCATGCACACAAACATGGGACGTGTTGGCAAAAGCAAAGAAATGTCCAAAATTAGAGTTGACTTTGCTGGAATGTCCCTCTCCCTCCCCTGTTTGTAAGCAGTGAAGCTGGTATTTAGAGAAGAGGTACCCTCTGTGTTTGTGTGTTTTTCCTGTCAGGCTGAAGAGAGAGCAATAGAAAAAAAAGAATTTATCTGCTAAAAAACAGATAATAAGAAATCAGACCTATTATCCTAGAGACACATTATTAGTCTCAAACTCACATAAGCCCAGGGCCACATCAGTGTGGGATTTTCAATACAAAAAACCCATGTATTTTAAAAGTATATATAAAAGTTTTTTTTAACCAAACTCTAAATGTTATACTATACACTATTATACAATATATAATGCTACAGTATAAACAGCTTCCACAAATAAGATCAACTAAAATACTCAAATAGTTAAACATTTCAACATTTCATAAAATGTTTCTAATGAAAAAGTTTTCTGTCTAATTAACGTGTCCTCACCGGCTCGGAGCGTTAGAGACGATAGGGTTCCGTTTCTCCAACTCAACTTCAGCAGTGTTTTCCTGTCTGAATCTCTTCACAGGGGTCTGATGAAACCATTCGTGTGGTATCCATGGACAAAGACTACCACGTGGAATGCTACCACTGTGAGGTGGGTAGAAACAAGTCTGGATTTGCTGAGGGAAGAAAATGAAAACAAGCATGTTTTGAGCGACACTGAGTCGGAGAAGCTCTGAATGGCTCATTAACAGTAATCATAATAAGTAGATTCCAAATCTTAATTATAGTCTGGCTGATAATTATGTAGTGCTGAGAAGAGCAGGTGCGAGACACCTCATCATCTCCATCTTATCATTTTACTCCTAAAAGAGCAAAATGCTGAGCTACTGCTGTTCTTTCACGCCACGTGAATAAAAATCAGCGCACGCCGACAGAGAGCAGCATCAGGTTGTTGTTTTCTTCGTAAACACGTTTACTTTGGGAAACTGACTCAGGCAGAAAAGGAACTCTTTAATCAGCTGAAGATTTCCTCATGAAAAGATATGAAGATGTTGTTGATAAACATTGTGCAAATGCAAGTAATTCTGCACGTAACGTGTAGTCATTAACTTCAACGTAGTACTTCAAGCAAGTATTATAGTACTGCAAAGAATAAGAATACTAGATATGTTTAACTATGTAGAGTTTTTCTCTGTTTCTTGGTGAGGATGATGGATGCAGGGAGTTGAGTGGAGTTTGTCTGCTTGTTGTTGAGCTGTAGCGCCCCCTTGTGATGCGTGGATTATAGAATAAATGTGATCCATTCCAGGATTGTAAAATGGAGCTGAATGATGAGGAGGGTCACCGCTGTTACCCTCTGAACGGCCACCTCCTCTGTCACTCCTGCCACCTGAAGAACATCGAGCCCGGCTCGTCCTCCTCCTCCTCTTCCATCACGACAGCCTCCTACTAACGCTTGCTCACAGTTGGATGGCGACACCTGGTGGATTTGACGAAGAAATTGCCAAAGAGTGACTTGAAATGCAAACCTGAGACAGACAATTCTTGTTGTAGAGGATTGGTTGATTGGTTAATTGAACGCCTCAAATATTACCTTGATTTGATGTGTATTTTAATAGAAATGTTAATGACGACTACATGACACAGGCTGTGACGCAATAATGAAGGATTTTAATTGAATAAATGACTATTGTAATGGAAAGTGGAAGCCTTGAGCTGTAGCTGACAAAGTGGCTGGAACATTGGCATTGTATGAGCATCAGTTAGGTTGGCTGTGTATGTCAGTGATATGTTATAGACACAGAGTGCCTTAAAATTTCCAGGTCACATCCTTTGTACTACATAAAATCCCAAATATATTTAATGTCAGCCATCAGAGGCCACTGGTCCCTGATTTTACCATAAAATAAAAATAGAAAAATCAACGTGTTTGTGAAGCGATGGTTCACCTATAAGGCTGTTTGCAGCATGTTCTGAACCAGAATCAACACAAAGCAGTCTAGCATTGATCACCTAGTGTTTCTTCTCTGTATTACTGGTGAATGTCCTCGTCAGGTTCAACTGCATACAGAGCCAACTTTGGTATTTTTTAATATTCAAAAACTGGTATTGAATAATTTATATCTGAAAATATTTTTTCATCTCAACACTTTCTCAGACGTATCATTCTATAAACTTTCATGTATAATCATTTTCAATACTTTCTGTTAAGCCCATGGTTTGTCACATTCTAGCCTGTTGTAAGCACTTGTTGGAGCAAAGTACGTAGATATGAAGATATTTAAGATGAGTTCTACTTCATGAAAGGCATTGTATATTACAAAGAGACTGAAAGAATACAACTTATCATAGACCTGCATTCTACATGTATTTTTGTTTCATTTAAAAAGTAATTTGATTTGCAGTGAGAGGTTATGGTGTCTGTCTTTGTTGTTCAGTTCAATACATTATTTTATAGCCAAGTGAAGACTAAGAAGAAACGAGTATGTGATTTAAAAAACTATTTAATAAATGCATTGCAATACACTGCCTTTCATCTTTCTTTCAACAGAATGTGGCTGTTATTATTTTTCAATCCATAAAATATATAGCTTTCAGCCATTTTTATGGAATTTACAAACTCTTAAATATAAGAGAGCCAAGGGACAAAAGGAAAAAAACTGTTTGTCTTTGATGAGAACTCTGTACCACAACATCTAAGCAACAAAGGACAACAAAGGATCACAGACTAGCTCTTTGTCACTCTGTTTCCCCAGTCGTTCATAGGGATTTTATTTTAATACGTTCACATTGTGCCACTGTTTGCTGAGCAGCCAGTGAAAACATTTTTGTGTGTATGCAATACAATTCTATAAAGAATCTTTCTTCTCTGAGCGGGAAAAAGAATTCGAGCCAGCCAGGAGTCGAACCTAGAATCTTCTGATCCGTAGTCAGACGCGTTATCCATTGCGCCACTGGCCCGAGATGTGTTTCAGGTGGATGTCGTATATTTTTATACGCAAACTTATGTCAAACATGATGTCTGTGCCTACCAAAAGTGGATCTGATCTTCGAACACAACAGCCTCCAACTACACGTACGTCAACGGCGGCGTCAAACGAAGACAACGATCTCCCTCTTCAGAGCAGGTTGGGAACTTGTCTTGTTAACAGTTAGAAACTACACTGGTGCTTACTTGATTTTATTCAATGCTACACAAATGAAGTGTAGTTCCGCAAATAACATATAAATTATGTTTTTATTCTTTTCACGTTGATGATGTTTTTGTAATTGCATTGTGCTGTACGTGATATAAAACCAAACAGAATGCGCTTATAGTTGTCCGTGACTCATTGTAGAATTCACAATTTAGTTTTTTTACTCTGAAATCGCTCACAACTATTTTCAACAAATGTTTTTCAGAAAAGTAGGCTTTAAGAGTAATGTCAGAGACTAACAACGGTTTTCACGTGCTGTTTCACGAGTTGGTGTTTGGAATTTGCCTTAGAAAAAAAATATACAAGAAATGATGTGTAAAAAATGTGGTGACACAATATGGTAGAGTGAAAAATCGGATGAAGAAACTATGCTTAATTCTGGGCTGTGTTTTTAAACGGTGGTAGATATTGCTGACGAGTACCGATTACCAACGTCTGCCATACACACAACAACCAGTAGGTGTCAATGTTGTCCCGTTTATTCCTCACGCGTCCTTTGTATTTTTTTTCTTAATGAAGCATTCTATATTTTTTAATATAAGCATGAGGCTATGTGCATGGGTGCAGTATCAATAAATAAATAAATAAGTGTATAATGGACCGTATGAATAAAATTAAAATAACATGTAATATACGAATATATATTAGATATAATATATCCGATTTAAAATGTACTTCTTACCAGCGTACAGGCTTTGGGTAGAAATGGTCTCATAATTGAATTCAGGTTTAGGCAATAAATTATGGGGGCATTCACAAAAACCATACTCTGCAGAATACATAAAGCACATGTATATCTACCAAAGGAGCCAATAACGGTCCAGATGACATCATCAGTGCTGGCTGGTGGTGTTGGGTTTACAGTCTGTTCCCTGAGTGTTGCACACATTATATTTACAGTGTCTGCCACCGTTGGTGTTATATTTCCACCCGAAAGTACAGTTATTTATTTTAATCGTTCGTGTATATGACAGCACCCTGGCCGCCTTGTAACATTATGTTATCTATTACATTTGTAGCTTGTTCTAACTAGCCTCAGATCACAGATTACATCAAACCTGTTCCTTGTTTGGCTGCAATTCTGATTAACAGAGCATTGCATTCATCGTAATGATCTGAATAACCAGTTACATTAATGTCGTCTGTGTTATAAGAAATCCTTTATCCACCCTGCAGTAGGGAAGTTTACAAGTTACCTTAACTAATCGGACACACACTCAAAACCAAAGACGCTCTAGCATTAATTGTTGTTTCTTTATCTGTTATAAACATTTGATATTAACATCTAGGGCTTGATTTTCTTTATTGTTAATACATTTTTAAAGTACAGTACTAAATAGTTTTGTGCTATCGTTTATCGTTTATTGTCCCGCCCATCTTATGCCTGGAGTTCCAATCTCGCATACGCAGTGTTTAAATCGAGCGCACCCACATGGCCTGGCCTCCCCGCCCCTCTGGTAAACTCCCCCAGTGACGTCAACAGAATCCTCCCAATGCGCGGGCTCGGTGTATGGGCTCTGCCTGTGCGGCTGACAAAAACGTGCAGCAGTCCCGTGTGTTATGACAGTGACAAACAAACCGAGAGAGGGGCGGACGTACGACGCGCTGTTTTCATACTAAGAAAAACAACCACAGTCATAAAGAGGGAAGTGTGAGCATGCAGGAGTGTGTGTGAGTCTGCGGCAGTGTGTGTTGACGTTTGCCGCTGGATGAATTAAAAGTGCAAAGCTGCTGATGGAGCTGCTGCTGCTACTGTGAGGCTCAGGCTGGGACTTCTCGTTGTTTCCGCTGTGTGCTGCGATGGAATAAACTCTGTTCGTTTATCCAGAGGATTATAACGCGATAAACTCACATCTTCGTTCTCCATGGTGCTTGAACGGTAGGAACAGTGAACTGACTTGTCGGTGCTGCGGATGATGCATGTTTGTATTTGTTTTTCCAACCACCGCCTGCCCCTCTGTTAGCAAAACACTGTCGCTCTGCACTGTGAAATATGGTTGTACAGTAAAACAATGCACTGGGATAATGTATTTATGTGGCTTAAAAACATATATTAAATATCTCTCTGTCTCTGTGTGTGTATTGTAACAGCAGAGAGATGGACAGCATTGGGATCACCATGCAGAAGAAAGCTGCAGAGCTGGAGCGGCTGGCCGAGGTTCTTGTCACCGGAGAACAGTTGAGGTATGTAGACATGAAACATACTACTACTACTACTAGTAACGACCATAAACCAAGCATGTTGATAGTCATACTACTACTGCTACTACTGCTAGTAACGACCATAAACCAAGTATGTTGATACTGGTAATATTTATTGACTTCATGAGTCGAGGCGGTTCATTCTTACTTTGCCTTAGACTTGAATTAATACTGAGTTACATTCAAAACACGTCACGTTGCAACCGTAGTTTTGCATATAAATGTCCTTGTCCATTTCTTATGTGCAGTCCATGACTTTTCTTCCAGTCATTCTAAGACTGACATGATTTATTTCCTAAAATGTCAACAACCAAAACAAACCCAGCAGTATATTATTTAAACTTTTGTTGCTGCAAGATAAAATATTTTGCAACAGTATTCTTTTGCATTCCTTGTGGTTGTAATAATCCTGAAGAGTCATGTCAGTGTCATGTTTGAATATGTAACCTCCAGTGCGTTCAGTTTCAGTCTCGCTGCAGTGTTTACAGCCACGACACCCTCACATTCTTTAGTTATTGAAGATAAAGTACAATAGTTACATATTTCAGCTGTTCAGTGATCGACCCACTGACTCCCTCCATATATTTGCCACGTCCTGTGCATTCAGCGCTAACCCTTTCACTGGTGCTGACATGCTATACAAAAGCCCCATAACCCTGGTGGCTCTCACTAACTCGTGCTCACAGCAGTGAATAGAGGCTCAGTTGGTAAAGCATGGTATCAATGCCTGGAATCTCAGCCCCCCTACTGAACTATGATGAAAAAACACTCAACTGTGTTTTACTGCTGCTGCACCACATAAAATGGAGGTTCAACTCCACTTGTTTAACGCTGTTTTAAAGATCCACCAAGTTAAGTGAAGAACAACTTTATTGTCAGCGAGTGTCCCCCAGAGTAGTTCACCCACGTTTGTTTCTCTGTTTGGTGCTGTCCACTGTGTGTATTTGAATGCTTGTGTGTGGGTGTGTGTGTGTGTGTGTGCGCGTGCACGTCTGGCACAGCTGTGTGCAGAGGCAGCCAGCTGGCAGTGTTGCTTGTATCGGTGAACGTAGGTTTTTGTTGTAGCGGATGACCCAGAATCCTTTGAGAAGCTGATGTTCTGGGTCAAGGTTGTGAGTCACAGAGGTCAGGCTGCGTCAACGCTTCATCTTACAGGCGCTGCAGTGAGCTTGAGAAGGTTGTAGACCACAGGGCAATACTACAGCTTCAAAAATGTAATTATTTGTCCAGAGTTAGGGCACTTTTGGGTTTGTGGTCAAAAGTGTGTGTTGAGATGAAGATTGAAGGGTTTTCGCTGTGCTGAAAGTGTTAACAGAGTAAAATCTATAATAGCACAACAGGCTGTATAATGACAGTTAATTCATGTCTTAAAATAGCTGCATGAACTGTGAAATACATTATCGTAGTGTTTTTGTTAAACAAACTGGTTTTATGACTCAGTGGAAACATCGTTATATTTTTGCCGTCCAAACATTTAATGAACTGCATGAACAGAATTCATTCACAGTGTGTTGACATGTGCAGTTTGTTATTTTTATGTTTTTCTCAAACTGCTCACATTTTAACTGAAAACGTGGACGAGATCAGGATCTAGTTGGACATTTATATTATGTATCTTCTCCCACATTTCAGACTGGAATTTTTCAGTCATGTGACATTTAAGGGTCAGTCATGTGACTTCTTTAATACCTTGAGTTTGGTTTTAGACTGTTTTGTGGAGATATTGTTTCCCCCAAACCACAGTCTGGCTGAGAGCATTGACATGTAGTTCAGTGAAACTGCATTAACTGTGCAACTGAATGATATTAACAAAGAAAACATCGCCAGTGTTAGCAACGTTTGTTAAAAGGCATTCATGGACTGCATGGATTGCCCAGTTGTCTGCGTGTGTTTGTATTGTAATGTTATCTCTGTGTGTTTGAGGTCAGTATTTCACTGTCTCATAAGAACAAATACTGTATCTGATACCACGTTATATGAAACTGAGCCCACGAGGCAAATGAAGCAACATCATATGGAGAAGACGCACGTTTAACTGAATAGGACTGTTGTCTTTGTTAGTATCAAAGACACTTTAATGACTGCTGTCAGGAAAGAGTCGTTTGATTTAAAATTTAAAAAAGTGCCAAGAACTGAGAAAGTCTCAGTCAATTCAATCTGTGGCACAGCACTTTCTGCTAAGACAAAATGAGACCACATAATAAAATGCAGCAGGGTGTGAACGACTAATCCACACCTTTGTTTGATTATGGGATGAGATCGTGGATTGACACAGTTCCTGGTATTCACCATGGGATCAGATCGTGGATTGACACAGTTCCTGGTAATCATAAAACTGGCTTTAAAGAAAACAACCTCCTCATACGGTTGTGTCTATCTGGGATGAGAGCTCAAATCCACTGATGGATTTAAAACAGTGGAGCAGCCATAATGGCACACACATGCAGCTGCTGTTGTTAGTCCTGTGACCAGTCTGTGATTGTGAGTAGACTGTTGTAATAGAATGGACCGGAGGTTAGAAGAATGTTTTCAGGTCAGGATCGTCAGGATTTGACCAACATTAGAAATGTTGAAACACCTTGAGCAGGAACACTGGGTTCTATCGTCCGTTGTCATCCCTGCTTACGCATCTGCCTTACAAGCAGTAGGTTCAAGCCCCAGAGGAACCATGTACTTATTGGCTCCTCCTGTGATGGTTGCAATTCTCAACACTGTGAATTTCCCCATTGTGGGACAAATCTTATTTTTTATTGAAAGGTAGGAAGTCTGATTTTAATATGATAAGTCAAAATATTACCCTTTTTTGGTTGATTAGTACAGAAGCTGTTTCTGGTTTAAATATTAGCATTGTGCTAACAAGTTGGCTAGCGATACAGCAACAGTTTATTTAATTCTTCCACTTTCTTTTTCTTTTTTCTTTTTTTATTGTGTTTTAGCAATATTCTAGTATAGTCTATTTATTATTCTAGTCAAGTGTGTATTTATTAATATCTATGACCGTGAAATTGCAATTTTGCTCCATTTCGTGTTTAGCATATTTGGCAAACTACCCCTCCTATTGGTGCAGAAATACTTTATTGATTCATGGGATGACATTGGGGACTTTTCAGACAAAATACTAGTGTCTGACAGAATCCTGCTGGTTTGGGGTTATTTGCAGTCAGATTCAAACAGTTAGCACCTTGTGCTTGTCGCGTGTGACTGTAGTGTTAATCCATGCTGATGATTCTCTTTTGGTATTATTTCAGACAAATGAGAGCCTTGTTTCCATCACATGCTAGCATTTGAGAACCAGAATATATTTACAAGGACAAAGATAGTTATCTGGAGCGTCTGCCTTTGTTTCTCTGAGGTGACATTTTTGAATAAGACTTGTTGGGTGGATGTTTATTGGTTTCCTCACACTGTTCTCATGTGCGGTGTAGTCTGGTTACGCTGTGGTCCATGACTTTATCTAGTGAGGCTGTTTGTTGATCTGGAGTGCTGGCAGACCAGTGTGTGGGTCGTACTGGGCCTGACTGTCACTGCTAATCCAGTGTGTTCACAGTGATCTTTGCCAGCTGCACAACGACTCAGCATGAAGTCAAAGCAGGGAGCTGCGGGAGGAGAGTGGCAGACTGTGGTGGTCTGTTCTCCACCGGACTGGTTCATCAAGAGGTCAGCTCGATGATGCGAATCAAACTACCAGGGTATTACTGCGATTGCTGCAGTACATGTACATTATGTTGTCTGTCATTAGTAAAAGGCCTGACCAGGGACAGCGATGGCAGATTAGTTTGGTTGGAGATCCATATGCATGGCAACTGTTTGGTATTTCTTATAAATCGGTGTGTAATGTTCCAGTTAAAATTAGAAACAGTTTGTGTGAATAACAAGCGTGTAATTCTCTTTTTCTCTGTAAATACAGCAGAACATTTTGATTTAATATT